AGATATATATATATATATATATATATATATATATATATATATCGAAATTCATATAATCGGATTTCGCAAGATTTAGATTTGGAACGAGCGCTTGAATTTCAAAAGGTCTTACAAATCCAAGGATCGACGAGTTTCCACAATCTGGTTTAATGCCGTGAATTCTCGCGGGGGAGATCGCGCTCTTAAAGAATTAGGGGTCGCAAATCCGCGTTGGAGGGTTGTGCGAACCGTGAAATCGGTGAACATCGACATCTGTGTAAATTCGTTGAATCATGTCCCTTTAACCGTGTTACTTTCGATTCACCCGTTATGTCACGTGTCGTTATGAACGCTTCGAGTGACGGGGATTTTCATTTCGAGTCATACGTTTTCACGTCGTATCGACAGATATTGAATCGAGATACGTTCATCAGAATGACAATCGTTCGAGTAGGAATCGTCATTAATTGTCACCGTCGCGAAATTGCGCGCGTGGCCAGGAATTCGCAGCAATGTTGCTTTTTACCCCCTTTCCTTCCCCTTTTTTCGTGAAAATTGATACGCTGTCTTATTGTTCTCGGTAGATTTTTCGTCACCAGACGTGCTTTTGTTTGATCTTTACCGATAAAATTTTATTTGCCGCACGTTAAACAACGCACGTGCAAAAAATTCAATGCATCTATTTTTTTTGTGTCGCGCAATTTTGCCAAAAATGGATCTGTTTTCTTGCAGAAAATTTCTCCCAACCGTGCAGTTAATAATAACAGGCTTTTTAATAAAGAATGAGAGGTGATAGATAAAATGAGAGGAATTTATGTATCTCTTGGTTACAAATCTAATTGATATCAAAATTGATTCAAATCGATAAATAGATCGACAGTTATCATTGTAATTCTGGATAAGATAAGATTGCATTGAATTAATGTACAGTTCCATGTACAAATATCGCGTTTAAAAATTTCTTCATTTCTCTACTTGGATTATTAATTTTTCTCATTAGCGCTATCTTTTCGATCTCTTTTTGTCCATCTTTTTTATCGCAGTCAACAACATATCAGTGAAAGGATTAATTGAAAATAGCGAACGACGAATGAATTCGCGAAAGAATTGATTTCATGAAATCGGTAAGAATTTCGGCGGCGTTCACAATGGCGAGAGATCGGCGGAAAATGGTGGACAAGGGCGGGTCGGCTGCAGGGGTTGCGCGCGCCTCCACAGATCAATATTTCATTTCAGCCTCGGCAACCTCCGACCGCCACCCATCCCCCGGCGCACTTCGCCACCCCCTTTTCCAACCACCATCTTCTACCGCTTTCCTCACCGACCTCGCGTAGCTGCGTCTCGCTTCAATCATCCTTCACCCCATATTTTTCCTCGTTTCCCTGCTTTCCTCCCTCGCCTCATGTATGCTTTTGTCTCGTTCCCTCCCTCGATCATCCCTCATTAGCCTCCTTGCTTCAATGACTCCATCATCATATAACCTGATGCGAGGCGGTCCATTGTTCGAATAGATCACTGATCGTTAACAACGTAAATCTTTCAAAAGCTTGATCTCTTCGTAAAAATGAAAATTCGAGAACGGAAGATTCTCAGAATCTAGATCGTTTCTATACGCGAGTTTAAATTTTTAGTCTTTTACGAGTAGTTTCGTAAAATTGGAGATTGAAACCTGTGACTCAAAGTAAGTCGAACTAAAAGATACAATTTTCTTTACGAGATAAGCACGATTAGATTGTTGACCCTTAATGTTCATTTTACGATAAAGCTGATCGTTTTGTGCACCTCGCAGGAAAAGGGGAGAAATTACATAAACGAAACCATCGTATTTTTATCACATTTATGGCTCCGAGTATGTCTCGTCTAGTCTGGGTCCGGAAACGCTAAATATATATCATTTTATCCTTTTCATCGAATGTTGAACAAGGGTAAAATGATACCTGGGTATACCTCGGATATTTCTGAACGCACCCTTGAGAGGAGAATAAGAGATCGGATAATTCGGAGATGTAGGATCGAGAATGGCGAGCGACTCGACGTCGACGGTTGATCGGGGGAGCTCCTTAGCTTCTCGCGCCGAGACGAACGACGCCGGCTTTAACCCAATTGTAATCTTACGATCGATGTTACGAGAGCGCCACGGGTACTGCGCCTCGCTTTCGCTCCGCATTGTTTCAGTTATTCATTCGATGCGGTGCCCGCGCACGGACCTGGCGTGCGCGCGGCCAGGAAGACGAGAGAGAAGGAAGAGAAGGAGGAGACGAACAAAAGTGCTCTCGTTCGCACTTCTCGCTCGCTCGCAAACTCCACGGGCAAACGTTTGCCCGCCCCGGCACAGTCGTCGCTCTGCGGGTTTTTTTTTTTTTTTTTTTTCCTTAGCAAACTTGTCCCACGCTGTTTCCGTATCCTCGATAATAGCCCTCTTGACATATCGCAGTCGAGCACGGCACACGAGTTTCCGCCATGTCATGAGTTTCCGTAATTAAAAATTACACTCGATGTGTCCGCGTCCGCTTTTGCCCAGCGAACTCCGAGATATTTTTTTTTTTTTTATTTATTTATTTATTTTTCCTTTTTCTTTTATAACTGCACACGCCAATTTGGAATCGCGTTATTAGTTTGTAGTCCGAAAGCTAATTGTTTGTACATACACTTTATAAATTCATATTTCGCGGCGTCGATTTTGCTTTAAATTATTCAGATTGCAGCGAGATTATTAACAGATTGTTGCTATCACAATAGAGAGAGATTATATATTAATATTAATAAAGAGATTTTAATATTAATATCAATCGGACCGTAATAAAAATATTCAATGGGGATGCGAACGCTTTTGTCTAAATAAGCAAAATTCGTGAATAAATAGCTTGTAAATGTAAAAACTTTTATAAATGGAAAACACATGCATTTACAGATACATATTCGACTGTTGTTGTTGTTGAATTATGCGAAGCTACGAGCCAGTGCCGTGAAGTTTTAATCGATGATTTTTTGTATATTTTGGAGCGTAAATAAATTGCAGAGGATTAGAAGGTTAATACAAATTTATGGATGCAATGTGCAATGTATAAGAATTTGAACAAATAAAACCGCCATGTAATTCGATATAGGTACGGTTTTTTGAGAAGAAATTGATGAATGACCTTTCGAGGAAGCGCTGATCTTTTCGTACATAAATATATGCCTACTGACGTATCGAACGCGCTTGTTTCAACAAATACGTAGACAAGAATCACAAAGCAGAATTTCTCGAAAGAGAAACAGTATTTTAAAGTGTAATTACTCCTATATGAATAAAATTACAAGAAATATGACATTAATACCACTATTTCCGCACAAAGTAAGAAATTATAAATAACGAAAAATTTCTCTGTCACAATAATCAGTGAATAAACTATCAATTAGAAAATGAAAATATCGTGATAAAGACGACGCTTTGAAATTAAATATAAGAAAGTGAAAGCAAAGATGTCTATGTAATAAACGAAAATTATAAAAGGAGAATGTTTATAACAGGATGCTTACTATGTGGAAAAACTTGAAAAATTTAAGGATTCTGAATTCATTTGTGCCTTAAAAAAATCAGAATTTTCAGGGAATTTTTTGAAGTTGCTTTTTTTAATATTTAATCTTTACATTATTTAATCAGAATTTTACCGACTGAATTGTTAACGATAACGGAATGGATCCATTCATTCTAATGAGTATACTAATTTTACAACTGATCCAATATTCAGTGTTGAAGATAACGATTTCGTGTTACGCAATTTTATTTAATGAAGATCAATATTTATTTTAATAGCTATAAAAGTTTAATTTTATATCGGTTATGCATTGTATAATTTTTCGTTTGTAGCTTTTGAAAATAAAGTTCGAAAATTTTAACACTATAAAATATTTATTTTTTAGAATTATAGTTTTTTCAAAAATTTTCCATTTTTAATTTTATTATTGAAACTCGAGCGAATCTTGATTCTATTTTATAATATATAAATTTTTATGGAAAATATTAAGAACTTTGCAAAATAAATATATATTTGTTCATAAGGTACGTCTAAAAATATCTTTCATTTTACCTGGAATTTTTAACAAATTACTTTGAAAATGAGAGAATTCTTAAGGATTTTTCTTTTTTTGGGTTTGAGTGGACACTCCGACAAATATTCTACGCGGGAAAAGAGTACGTATGTATGCACAGAAGTTACGAAAGATTGAAATGTAATGTGTAAAATACATTAAAAGATTCGTCAGTTAATTATGACCGAAGGGCATAACACACGTAATTTTCGGTACTTCCAGCACGATTGCGAGTTTGCGCGCAAACATTTACACATGTTCCTTCAATTCCAACCCCTTCATTTCAGAGCGGAATTTAATTCGTCTCACGGACGGAATTACACCGGAGTCGGTCGGCTCGTGCGCGAAATTTTACGGGGTGTGAGATCGAATTTGTTGCTAATGCATACTGATGCCGGGTATCGGGTGAGAGATAACCCAGGTATATGGGCGCGATTCATTTACGCGGCCGAGCCGTTTATCCGGCCGAATAAACGAGATACACGTTTCATTTAAATTTTCACGGGAGAACGAAACGTCACCTCGCGCCAGTCGCGATGTCATCGGCATCGGGCTCGTTGTTTGCGATCGAAATTACCGATGTTACCGCTCGTCCCCGATGCATGTTCTC